ACAGATTCAGTGTAATCTAAATAGAAATTTGAGCTGTTTTTTTTTTTTTTTGTAGAAATCAACAAGCTGACTCTAAAATTCATATGGAAATGCAAAGAACCTAGAATAGCCAGGAGAACTTTGGAAAAAGAAGAATAAAATTAAAAGGCTACTATTATCTGATTTCAAGACAATTTCTAAAGTACATTTATCAAAATAATCCAGGATAATCTCCCCATCTCAAAATTCTTAACTTAATCACATCTTTTGCTAGATAAGATAGTATTCTCCTTTTTGCTGTATTAGGTAATATTTACAGGTTCTAGGAATTAAGACGTGAATATCTTTGGGGGCCATTATTAATCCTATCACAGATCCCATGTGGCTGTCCAGTTGCTTTAGCTCTTTATACTCTATAGTCCATCTTTCTTTGCTGATATTCAGCACCTGCTCTATCATAAGTCATATTTACATAGACGTGTGCATTTATTCTGAGTTCTGAATTCCTTAGCCACTTTTGTACTTTCTGCTCCAATACCACATTGTCTTAATCATAATAGCTTTATAATAGAGTTTACTACATGAAAAGCCAAGTCCCCTCAATTTATTCCTCTTTAGGAATGTCTTAGTTATTATTGGCCCTTTGATTTAACATTTAAATTTTATAATCAGCCCATCAAATTTCACCAAATTCTATCTGTTGGCATTTTGTTTACTAAAGCATTAAAATTGTAGATGTAGATCATTTTGTTTAGTAAAGCATTAAAATTGTAGGAAAATTGATAACTTTATGATATCATATCTTCCTTTTCAAGAACATAGCCTAGTTCTCCATTTATATAAATCTTTGTTAATATCTTTCATTAAAGTTTTACAATTTGTTCCTTGAAGGTCTTAAATATATTTTTGTTAGGTTTATTTCTAGGTACTTTATATTGTTGTTGCTGTTGTAAATAGTATCTGGAAAATTATTTTTTCTTTACTTTATCTTATTAATCTTACTTTATCTTATTAATTTTAAAAGATTATTTCTGCATTCTTTAGGATTTTCCAGACAGACAGTCCGAATATGTGAATAATGGCAGTTTGTTCTTCTTATTTCTATTCCCCTCTCCCACCCGCATTTTTCTTGTCTTACTGCACAGAAATGGAGCTCAACTATAATATTGGACATCTAAGATAGCTTAGATGGCGAGTTTTGAAAGCCCATGATCCAGTATCCATGCTGTATTAGTCTATTTGGGCTGCTATAACAAAAATATGATTTTCTGATATTTAATGCAATGTAATCTATTGCATTCAGGGATTGTAGGGCTGTTAAAGGTGTTCTGTAGTGCATTTCTCTACTTTTTACATGTGAAACCAGGATATTCTAATCATAGATGAGAAACTGCCCTATTTAAAAAAAATTTTTAAATATTTTGCTCTTCTAATAAGCAACCTGTCTTTAGAGCTTCCTAGTTCCTTCAGGTTGTCCCTCTTGCTGTTTTTTGCCAAGACAAGAAAAATCTCTTATAGAAAAGTAGCATATGTAATGTAATCCTAAAATTTAGACTAACTCTTGTAAATGCAAGGCTGGGTGTTACTTGTACTCCCATTCTATCCTGGATGAGGGAAATTGCTAGCTACAAATAAGGCACATTCCTTTGAAGTAATTAATAACTCTCAAAGAAACATTGGCTCACTGCTTTATTACAGCACATCTCCTTTTATTATTATTATTTGTTGAGGAAGGCAATCAAGGTAACAGATGGGAGAAAGCTTTAAGCCTGACAATTATAAATAGTCTTGCAGTTTATTCTACAATATATTTGCAATTCCCTTTCTTTGCCATTCTGAAAGTTGGGTCTCTGTCAAAATACCGTTCCCTTGACCAAGGAGTACAAATCTTTGCCAATAAGTTCAAACCGTAAAATGATGGAGCGGGGATGTCGAGGTTTGGGCTCTCTGAAAGTTGTGCTTATGTTCTAGAGTGTTGTCAACACTGAAACTTGGTCCTTAGAGAAACCTCTTTTCCAGGGATCAGGTAGATTGGGGGTACACTTTGAATAAATCAGCTGTTCCAAATATTGCAAGGATTGCTTTTTGTCTTCTATAGTCAAAGTAATACTTGCCTAATGACCACTCTGTTGCCAAGCACTACAGGGGACACAGAGACAAGTATTCCTGTCTTTAAAAGGACAGTCACGGAGAGAAAGCATTAAAGATACAGAAGCTAAATAGCAACCGAAGACAGTGGAGCATAAAATGTCACAAGGCATTATAATGATAATAATAAATTAGAAATATGACAATAATACTGAAAAATACATCTACCAGAGCATTGAAAGTATTTTGAATGTTAAAAATGTAACACACAGAGCGAATATATAATTTTTCCTTAAATAACTGAAATTTAAGTGGTACAAATTTAAGGAAAACCTTTCAGACTATCAAAGATTTTTAAAAGTGGTGATATCCCCACTGTCAGCGAGAATGTAGAGAGACAGGAACCATTAAATACTGTTGTCGTTTGTGTGTAAATTAGTACAACCTTTTAGAGGGGGATATGCCCACAGCTGTCAGAATGTCAAATGTGCATCTCTTTGTTCTGGCAATTCTATTTCTACTAATGGTGGGCTTGGTAATTTGGATCAACTCTCTAATACAGCTAGAAGAACAAGGCAAAGTATTTTTTTAAACCTGTTTTGAAGGTAAAACATAGCTACTAGGACAGTGAAGAATTATAGGGCCAAGATTCAGGAGAAGAAAGAAACCAAGACAATTAGACTTTGGAGGGACCTCTTTATTCTTAGCAACACTGCCTTTTTGATAGATACCATAGAGAGGCTGATAAGTTAAGTACAGTTAGGGAAAAAAACAGAGGAGTTAAGGGGAAGCCCAAGGAGAAAGGGCCCTGGTAATCCCCCAGGTTCGAGGGTGTGACCCAGTGAAGTGACAGCTGGAAATGGATCAGCCCTCACAAGTATAGAAGCTCAGCTTTGAGTCAGTTTTTAAGTATAGATTTGATCGAGCCAGTTCTTCTCCACTGAGGTTCCAAAAGATAATTAATCCCAAATGTTCTAAGGCATCTTTTGTATATGAGAAATTAACTTCTTTTTTTATATCTAGGATAGTATTAGCTACATACCTTTCTCTGGAGAATCAAGAAAATAGTCACTCAAATGATTTGCTGCAGGGCTTAATTCTCTCACAGAATCTAAACTGCAGATGGTTGGATTAGGTCATGAGATCGCTAATGTCCTCTAGTCACCAGCCAGAAGCTGGAGGAAGATCACATCTTAGGACGTCAAATTATCTCTATAGTTTTTTATATACACTAATCAGACTCAATCAAAATAACTAAGCATATGAGGAGGTGACACAGTCTGAAAGAACATGAAGATAAACAATAGACACAAACCCATAGGAGGTCAGATAATATCTTTAGACACAGATGTTTTAAATGTTCTTACTAAAGACAAGATTGAACAGAGGCCTAGAAACAACAAAAAAATTTAATGGGAAGTCTGGAATGGAAAAGTTATGACAAATTAAGAACTCAATAAATTTAATAGCCTATTATGTACAGCCAGAGATAGATTTTATAAACTGGAAATGAAATAAATCAAAAGACTATATCCACACTAAAGCATGAAGAGACAAAATACAGGATAGAGCATAGAGTCAAATGGAATGTGGCAAAAAGTTCACATATATGTTTCCATTATATATTCTATTATAATTGTATGTACTAATATATATTATATATAGTAAATATCTATGTGTAGAAGGAAGTGAGAAAATGGAGCATAAGAAATATTTGAAGAGATGATGACTACAAATTTTTAAAAACTAATGAAAGGCATTCATCCACGGATTCAAGAAGAGCCACTAATTTCAAAAAGGATAAATACAAACCATACCTGGGAATATTATAGTAAAACTGCTGCAAACCAAAGACAAAAAGAAAATCTTAAAGCAGAGAAAAAGACATATTGCCTCAAATGAGCAGTAAGACTATAAGCTGAGTTCTCAACAGAAATGGTGGAAGACAAGGGGCAATAGAATATTTTCAAAGGGTTTAAAGAGAGTATATGAAAATTGTTCATAAATGTGTTCAGGGATATTAATGACATTGCAATTTGTTATAGTAAGAAGTTGGAAACCATTTAAATACCCGACGAGAAGGATCGGTTAAAGATATTCATCTCTTCTCTAGATGATGATATGTAAAGATGTTCCAGATTTATTGTTAAGTGAAAAAAAGCAGGTTATAAAATAACATATAGCATATGTTCTCATTTTACATTGACAGTATTTAAATATGATTAAGTATGGAAGGATTGGCACCAAAATACTAACAATAGTTATCTTTGGGTGGTGGAATTATGAGAGAATTTCTACTTTTTCTATAATATTCTTAAAATAATCATGTATTAGCAAATGGAGATATATCTGTTTTTAAAACGGAAACAAAACCAGTCAGTACTTTAAAGCCTTCTGCTCTCTGTTGACCCTGCATCCATTGTGGATGTGTAATAAGAGGTACTGTTTAGTGGATTCTATTACCTTTATGTGAAAGAAACTGCAAAGGTACGACTCCTAGACTCAGGTCCCTTAATACTCTAGCTCTTCCTAAATCTAGGGACGATCAATGTGAACAACGTCCCTTGGATCCCATGGCAACCCATTTTATGAGGAGCATCGATCTGTGGTCACTCTTCTCCCATGTAGAGAAATTATGTTTCTTTGTAAGAAACTTAAGGATACAGTTAAGACTGGGTTAAAATTTTTTAATTTTTTTTTTTCTGCTAAAATGTCAGCCTAAATTGCAAGCTGTTTCCTAAAGGTAAGAAACAAACAGCATTTCTGTTTCCTAAAAATAAACTAGATCTTCAGCGTTGGTTAAATTGCAGTCCCCTCAGCCCAGTGTAGAGAGTTGGTGCAATAATCTTGAGTATTTACATTGATAACATGTTGTGGATAATTTGGGGTAATAAAGCATCATTTGGGTATTAAAATTCGAATTGTTTTTATAGGCAGAGAGATCCGTCTGCCCCTCCGAATCAAAGGGGAAGGAATGGGACCAAAGATTCACTTCAACTTTGAATTGCTGGATATCGGAAAAGTTTTTATTGGATCTGTACATTGTTATGAGGTAAGTACTAAGATTATTCATTGAGACTCAGGCAGCGCTTGGCTTTTTTTGTTTTCTTTTGTGTTTGTTTTTGCTGATAGAAAATTTGTACAATCACATCCACTTGCTATTACTCATACTTATTCAGACCCCAAAGTGATCTGACTCTCTCCTCTCTCCTAGCCTTGTTGAGTGGGGCAACTTTTTCCATCCTCTTCAGCCCCCTCTAACTTTACTAAAAGCACCAAAGCCGTAATTTAATTGGTTTTATCCTTATCATTTTGTAGATCGTAAAGGAGAATTTCATATATACATCTCCCCATCTGTTTAATGCTTGTTCTCTGACAACATAAACCCTATATCAGAGGATAGAGAACCTTTTACAATTTCCAGAATGTCCTAAGGAGGATAGCTGTTTTCATACCTCAGAATTTTCTTTAAATGTGCTTCTCTAATCCATGATTTAAAAACCAATCATTGTGTTTTCTGGAAAAGACCTCCCTACCTTGTCTTTCCAATTAAATAGAAAATGATCCTTTTACAAGATGTACTCATGGGTTCGTAGGATCTAAGTTACTTCAGTACTTACCTCATCACTAAATTTGTATCTAGGACACTTTTTTAAATTAATAATTATTGGGATGATATTCATAAAAATCAAGTAAGTTTCAAGGGTACAATTCAACAGTATGTCATATATATATTGCATTGTGTGTTCAGCACCCAAAGTTAGATTTCCTTTCACAGAACACTTTTTTACACTATCAAACTATAACCATTGAAACATTATTTTAGATTCCTGAATTGTAAATGTTTACATTTCTATAGAGGTAATAATAAAAGCAGTTATTTAATGAGTGACAAATAGGTGTCAACTTCTGTGCTTGGTTATGTGTGCACGTCTGTGTATTTTGTGTATAGTTTCTAATCCTTAAAAAACCGTGAAAGGTAGGTTTTACTGTACCTGTTTTATAAAGAAGAAATGTAGGGCAAATAGTGGTTAATTCGATCTACAACATCACCCTTCATGTGTGTTGAGCACACATGTGTTAGTTCATTTAGCCCTCACAAAATCCCAGGGAGTAGGTACAGTGACTATACCCATTTTATAGCTGAGGAGACTGAGGCAGCTGAGGCTTAGAGAAGTTTTACTAGTTAAGGTAATTAATGCTAGAATCTGTAACAAACAAATAAAAATATATATTCTCTCAAACATGATAAAAGTCTATACTGTTACTTATATACAGTCCCAAACGAGGTTGTTGATCAGCAGATAGCTCCCCTTCAGCAGAAAACAAGGAACTTGGGCTTCTTCCATGTCATGGGTTTGCCACCGCTAACACGCGACATGCAAGATTGCAGTCTCATCTGTATCACACTGGCAGAAGGAGAAAGAGCATGGAGGTTTTCATAGGAGGCAGCACTGGAGGTGGCTCATAGCACTTTTGTTCGCATCCCGTTAGCTGTCCATAAGTGCAAGGATATCTGGGAAATGGCAGCACAGGAGGAAGAGGATATGGGTTCAGTGAATGGCAACCTGGCTCCACATTTGTTAAGTTACTTGGCAAGGACGCACAGCTTGTAAATGCTACTGGGTTACTAAGGTCTATATCCTGTGGGAAGAGAAGGCCCTTTGCTGGCTTTGCAATGCCTCAGTCTCTCACCATGGGCAAATCTAGCCTACCACCAACTCAGCTCTCAGCCCAGCCTAACCTGGCATGGGAAGTAAAAACCCGGTTGCTACTGAGAGCTTTCTGCAGTATCATTTGTCTCAGTATTCACCATGGCCTAAATGGGATGGTGTAAAAGGTAAACAGATGTTAATGTCATAATGAGATGGAATCATGATAAGAGCACAATTTAAATGAAGAAATCAGTCACATGACTGTCATACAATGAAAAGTGGCACAGCTGCTCTATTGCATTGCCCTGAATTGCATTTTGGAAAAAAAAAAAAGTTATTTAGGGAGGAAAATTAAAAGGTACAATAGTTCTTACTAAATCGATATTCTGTCTGTAATTTATCCAATGTGAATTTCTCACACATCTTACAGACACCACATTAGAAAAGGATCTTTAGTTTCGATGCAAAATGGATAGGGTTTCCTTGAATATAATAATTTCTTAAAGATTTAATAGGAGTGTACTTTAGGCCACCACTTCTCACCCTCCCAAATCTGAACAGTAAAGCAAACCACAGGCAGCTAAATAAGTGTTAAATGAGGTGCTGCATCAGACCGGCCAGTTTTGAGAGCTGTGCGGTGGCAGAGAAGGGCATGGTAAGGTGCTCCTTGTGGGAATATTTTGCACTCTCTGCATATTTAATGCTGATGCCTCATTGCATCTCTTTCAATTTATTACATCACCTCCTTGAGACAAATTTGAATAATTACCTATTGGCCTTAGTCATTGCTGAGCTTAGCAGATCCATAAAAATAAAACAAAAAAAACAACAACACAGAACCCCAAGAGTATACACTCTTCCCCAGCGTAATTAGAAGGAAAACAAATGAGAGGGGGACATTCTCTTATACATTTTCTTCTCTCCAAGGACTTTGACTACATGGGTAGGGGTATTACCAGTAATCAAAAAGTCTTAGAATTGTGTCCCAAACAATTTGGTGGATTCTGTATACATGAGTAGGTGTTGCTTTGGGGGAGGGGGAACAGGGGGAGGGGTTGGAGGTGGAGAATGACATACATATTCTTGAAAATGGAGGGGCTGGCACATTATAGAAAATCTGAGTAAAAAATTTGAGTAAAATAAAAAGATAATCCACACATCTTCTCAGAGAGAAGAATAAGGATCCTTCAATTTACTGTGAACACCTCTGAGTTGCCTTTGAGTTACCACGAGTGCATGTCAGTTGCTTCTTAAATACAGATAAATTTTAAACCCGTTCTCTCAGCACTGGGGCTGTATATAGCAATCACTGTCATTTAAGCACTATTTGCCAGATACTATTCTAAAAGTTACATAAGTTAATAAATTTCATTTTCCCAAGTCTAAATAGTAATACATACATTTTATAGATGGGGAAACAGTGGCAGAGAAACTAAGCAGGTTTTCTAAGGTCACACAATAAGTCAGTGGCAAAGCTCTGATATGAATCCAGGCATTTGGTTTCTGAGTCCCTGGTCATAATCACTCTTCTACATGGTCTCTTTCAAAGGAATAAAGGGTGAAGCATGAGCCTTACGACCATGGAGCTTAAAACAGAGACAGGGAGATAGGAAATACATGTAAAAAAAAAAACAAGTAAAATATCAAGTAGCAACTAGTTATGTATCTGTTTTGGTGCATTGTCTATCTTCTCTTGGCAGAAGTGGTGGTTTTCCTCTGCAAGAGCCCCTGACTCTGTCCAACATATGCTCTTGATTCCTTCTCTGCTTCTCCAGAGGCAGCCTGAGCTAGTGGGCCTCTCATATCCACCAGATCCCATTCCCGTGGTTAGCTAGCCCCCTTCTTTTATTACAACAAACATCTAGGCCAGGCAATGAGTCTGCGTTATCTCATTGAATGTAAATGTACTAGTTCTCCTCTACCATACCGTCCCGCAGCTTTGCCACCCCTGTTCTCACTCTTCACCACTAACCTTCTCAAAACACAATCTAGAATAGTTAACCACCGTTTCCTCTGCATGCACTGACTCCCTAAACATTTGTACTCTGGATTCTGCAATCACATTCCATTGGAATTAAACTCTTCTTCAAGGGCAAGAATAACCTCTAATTAAAAATAAAAGATCTGTAACATTTTCTCATTCGACCACATTCAACACTTTCTGGAAATTCTCCTCCCCGGGCTTCAGGAATAGAACTGTGTGGCTATGATACAGGTTCATGGACAGGAATTGTGAGAGGTGGCAGCAGGAGTGGGAGACTGAGCCAGCCGTGGAAGTCTCGGAATGCCAGGCATGAGCTTTTTACACACACCTAGCGTGCAATCAAATGTGGCCAATGACGTGGCTCCAGAACGCTAGTATATAGCAACAAAACTTTTCTATAGCAAAACAGTTGCTTGTATAAGCATCCCTGAAGTTATCCATGCACTAGAGTTTGCGATGAAAGTATTCCAATAGGATGAAATCTGATACCACAACAAAGAGAATACTTGCAATCTGGAATCCACAGTGATGTCGCATTTACATTCTTCAAGCTGCGTTATAAACATGGGCTTAGGTAGTTCTCGCTCCTCTATTCTGACTCACTTTATTTTTCAGTATGCCACTTAATCTCAGCCTTCTTATGCATTTGAGAGAAATACCTTCCCTTCCCTTGGTTACTTTACAGAGAATATCAAAAAAATAGTATTTAAAGGCTTTTCAGTAGATGTGATTATTATCAGTCTTTATAGCATAAGTATAATTCATATGACTAACTCCACTTTAAAGAGGAGACAAAAACAAAAATTCTTTCTGGCTTGGGACTCCTATCTTCAAACATTCAAGAGAGAAGACTGTTCATTTCTGCCCTGGAGTTTTTCTTTGGTTCTAATCCCTGCCTCTGTCTCTGTGTTGGTATTAAATGATACAGCCACATGCTTATATGAAAATAAATCGGAGACCCATTGTCTGCCTCTTCATTTTTGCCTTTTTATCAATATAGGCCATACTATCCAACAAAGGCAGCATTGACGCCCTCTTCAACATGATCCCTCCCACTTCGGCCATGGGGGCCTGCTTTGTTTTCAGCCCCAAAGAAGGCATCATTGAACCAAGCGGCGTCCAGGCCGTCCAGATTTCCTTTAGTTCTGTCATCCTGGGGAACTTCGAAGAAGAGTTCCTGGTCAATGTCAATGGGTCACCTGAGCCTGTGAAACTGACCATTAGGTAAGATACATCTATAACTAATGTGGAAACTAACTGAAGTTTTTACCTACTGCTTTCTTAAACTTCATAACTAGATCATTTCTTGGATAACCATAACTACCTTTGTTTATATGAACACATCGACATAATGGGGTGTTTTAAATTTCCACCAGTGTTTCCCTACTAAACATGTGTAACTTATTATCATAACAAGGATACAGATGCTTTGGGGGATCTAGTGTTTCTGTAAGCTATAACCTTATAAAACAAGGACTTAATTATTAAATTAGTTTTTAGTTACTCTCTCTGTTTTCAGATGTTTAGGGGGAAATAAGTTACTAACACCTATATAAAATCATATCCTTAACTATTATCATAATTTCACTAAACCTTCATCTTTCGTTTTTATTTTAAGGAAGTTCTTTAAATGCCTTTACCTATATCGCATGCTCAGGTATTGTAAGAATCTCCTTATAGAGTTAGTTAGCCACGGCAAGACACTTGCTGCTTTTGTGCTAACAGTCTTTTGATGGTTTCTCCAGCTGCTTATAATAGTCAAAAGTCATTAATAGCAGAGTTTGTCCTTGGGTTTTAAAAAAAAGTTCTCTGTGATCAACCCATTGAGAAGATCTAGAACTTCTGGTTCCTGGTGCTTAGAAAGATCATATCTTCAGAACACATTGCAAATTCTCTTTGGATTCCCACAGCAACAGGTTGTTCATTACCATGGCAGTCCCGCAAGGACTCTATCTGCAGCCGAGGTCTCCTGCAAGATCTGGAAATAACATAGAAAAGAGACAGACGAGTATGGCCTGAAGGGTCCTAGAAAAACTTATGATATACCTACTGGAAATTCAGAATCTCAAGATCAGCTCAAAGATCATTTCTTCTCATTTCTTCCACCTAAGTATCCCTGTTATGGGACGAATTACATCCTCCCAAAATTCATATGTTGAAGTCCTAATACCCAGTGCCTCAGAATGTGACTGCATTGGGGATAGGATTATTAAAGAAGCAATTAAGGTCATATGGGTAGACCCTAATCCAATATGACCGATGTCCTTACAAGAAGAGGACATTACAACAAATGTGAAGACAGAGAGAAGATGGCCATCTACAGGCCAGAGAGAGGGAGTCTCTCAGAAGATACCAATCCTGTCAACACATTGATCTTGGACTGCCAGCCTACAAAACTGTGAGGAAATAAATTATGTTGTTTAAGCCACTGCATCTGTGGTCTTTGTTATAGCAGTCCTATAAAACTAATCAACCCCTAACAAGCACAGAGAATGAGTAGGCATATGCCTCTGTAGTTCTATGGCACAGCTAAGACAGCCTGCTACCGTCATAAATCCTTTTTTTTTTAAGTCTCAAGACTTATCAGAAACTTTCACAAGGCATTTGCATTCTCTTCCATAATACATCGGTGTTTGTGATAATAGAAAAAAAATCAGAGTTGCTGTCCAGATATTTGAATAACAAATTTACAATTCTGGAAAATTCACTACGATTATCCTGGTCCATGGAGGTTATACAGGCCTCCATACAAAACTGGGGAAGATAAAACCTTAAAACTGTGCTCTTATAAACATTTAAGATAAAAAGAATGATGGCCCTATCTGTAGGTAAGAAAGTATCGGATGTTAAAGGACCACAATTTTACTTTTTATGTAGAGAAAGAAAAAGCGAAATGCTGGTCAAGACAGGCTAACTGTCCTTCAAGCTGAATAAGAAAGCCCATCCCGATTTCATCTGGCCATTCCCCATTTTAAGTTCAGCCTAATAATACTGTAACTAACTATCAACATACATACATTGCTACTCTATTTAGGAATAAATGTGTGTCTTGGGGTATTTATTTAATAAGCTCTCCCAGGAACCTACTCACAAGTGAACTTGGATTAGTTAATATTCCAGGTGCTCTATGGAGGTTAAATCGCTCGTTTCATCCTCTGAACGTTACCAATCGCTCAAGCTCCCATGCTCCTTTCTTATTTGGGATGTTTATTTCTGGTTTCTTTCAAAGGGAAGGAAAACTTGACTGTAGAAAGAATGTTTATGTTCATCCTAAAGCTAATCACAAATTGTTAAGAGAAACATTTTTGTCTAAATTGCATGTGCCCAAAAGTGTTCTAGCACTTCAAACCATAAACAATAGTTTTGAAAACTTGGTAACTATCTGGTGTCGAATAAATGAGACGAATAAATGTCTCATGACGAAGGGTGAAATACATGTATAATATATATATTCTCAGCTCCACCTGTTAATACTGACTTATGACTTTGCTAGAAACACCTTTTGGGCCTTGTGGCCCAAAATATCTCTATAAAGTTAATGTTGTGGATCCTGGAATTTTGTTTCTTATTCTTTTATTGTCAGGTATTCCTCTCTCCTCAATTTTTTCAATACTACGTAATTTTGGTTAGTATGCTTTGAAAGAGCAGAATAATTATCAAAATTTGCCATTTCTATTTATCCCTCAAACTATATGACACAATATTTTAAGTGGTCGGATAAACAACACTGTAGAATTAATGCGATTTTAAAATTACTCACAAGCAGTTTTCTTCCCTCCTGTTTTTATATGTGTAATTTAATAAAGTTTTAACCATTAGCATAAATATATCTTATATTCAAAATTTTTCACTTCGTATATCATAATAATTCAGTCACTCTCTTAGTCTTTAAAATTATAATTTTAACAGACCACTGTATTGATGGAGGTCACAGTCCTGGCAGAGGCTGTCCTAATAGTCAGAATCCCTGTTAGAATGGATGTTACGGTATCGAAGCCCAGGTGGTAGTTACCCACAATGCCTTTCATTACATGTGCCTTTGAACAAATGTGATTTAACTCTGGTTTCTACTTCTGCTGTGATGAAACGACTGTTTTGTGCAAATTTGTAATCTTCCTTACTTTCTTTAGCCTTTTGTGCATTTCAGACACTTTTCATGTTTGTTACTTTGCCCTGACCCCAACTTCTTTTACAAATCATGTAGGTATCTAACCTGTAGGCTTGTTTGACTTCACTCTCAGCTGGATTCTAATTCCTTGCTGAGTACCCGCCACCCCTTTTGAAACCACTTTGGGTTATTAGCACGAAATAGGATAGATGATTTTGAGAAAGGCTTTTAGAATTCAAACTGGCTGCTTTGAGTCTTTGCTGTCTTTGCTCCTCCCAGGCTTATAGCAGCCTCTCACCAGTTATAGTCAGATCTGGAGCAGCCAGAAGTAAAAGTGACTAATGCATTCATCCCGGTGTGGCACACCTATATCACCAATATCTGGAGTGAATAAGATTTATGCTTAGTGTGTTTTCTGATATCTGCGCATCTATAACATTTAAATGCTTGGCACAGCTAGAAGTGTAGATCTCTGTATTACAGGCATACCTCATTTTATTGCTCTTTGCAGATGTTGTATTTTTTTTTTTTTTTTTTACAAATTGAAGGTAAGACCCTCTATCAGCAAAAATATTATGACCTACTTGATTGTGATACTTGCTTTATTGCAGTGCTCTGGAACCGAACCCGCAATATCTCTGAAGTATAACTGTATTTCTTTTAAACTAAAGCATCACTCCAAGATCATGAGGCCTTGCTCTGGGAGAGAAATGGACCAATATTTAGAATAAAGTGTCTTTAAAAGTCACCTATTCCAGTCCTTCCTTTTATACCCGAGGAAAAGAAATTAAAGCCTGTGGAGGTCAAGTAACTGGCCAAGGTCATAGCTACTTGGTGGTAGGAACTGGCTTAAGACAGTTTTATGAAAGTGGAATACTAGTATCATTGGTAATCTCTGATGTTTATTATATGATTAGGCCTATAATTTTTTGTTGTTGTTGCCCGAGTTAATAACTTTTCGTGGTATGTGTGTCATCCACACTAACATTTTGTGTCCTTAGTTTGGTGATGTGTCTTTCCTGCCTCATCACTGGTAGGGATGTGGTGGGGAGCTAACCACAATATCTTACGAGTGATTTGAGAGCTGAAAAAGAATTTTAAGAACCACTGTGATAGACCATCATCTCTTACTTTTTTTAAGTCCCAGAGTCTATAATTGATTTAAAAATTATGGTTTTCAGCGCTTACCTTTTCCCCGTCTCCCCAGTTCTTGATGGTTACCGCATACTCACTGGATTCTCCCCCCACTCCCCTGCTTGTACTTCTGCTTCCAGAGGCTGTGTCATTGGCCCCACTTTCCACTTTAATGTTCCAGCTCTGCACTTTGGTGATGTTTCCTTTGGTGAGTATTTTTCCATTTTAACTTAGAAACTGGGAAGAATTGCTTTCCTCTCTACATGGGAGGAAAAAAGGTTTACAAAGAATATTTCTTACCATTTTTTATGAGTAACAGCCAATAGGTTCTGCAATTGTTCTGCAGCAGTGGCACTTCGGTGCCATTTTGTAGTTTCTATGTGAAATTTGGTATTGCGTCCTGGGTGCTAATAGCTATCAGGCCATGGCTGTGCCCCGTCTGGCAGCAGTGGAACAGCAGAAAGCCTTATACTTCACTCCACAGACTTCACTCCAGAGTCTGACTGTTATGAACATGCTATTTATATGCAGATTCTGATTTGCCGGTCTGGCCACACAGCAACCTTCTCGGAGAGATGCTCTCAAGTTTAAAGTGACCTCAGTGGTGGTTTGATTCAGGCGTGTTATTGCTCCAAATTGAAGACTCTTCTATATTTTGATGTTGTCTTCTTACTCAGTTATTTCTTTCAGTCATTTTCTTCCATCTAAGTTTCCTCAATAATAAAAATGATAACAGCAGTAGCAGCGAAAGTTCCCATTTATTGGTTCTTTCTATATATTCTAATCATTGCTAAGTCACTTATGTGCAGTATTACATTTAAACCTTCTAGAATCTTATGGGAAGGCACTATTTAAGATCCCCATCTTAGAGACGGAAGTACTGAGCATTGAACAGTTATATAACGTCCTAAAGTCACACAGCAATGGCAGAATTAATATTTCAATTGAGATCCATTTAAATCACGTATTATCAACACAAGTGATGTTGCCCCCTAAGAGGGGAAAATTGGTTCTTGGAAGTTGGAAAAAAAAACAGGTATGGCAGTGACTTGTGGCCCTCCAAAATTCAACCTTACCCAATAACCTTATTGCTTAGTATGTAATTTTTCTCATTAGGGAGATATTAAATTGAATTTAAATTATATTAATTAAATATAGTTTATCTGACTTAAAATTAATTTATGAGAATAGTTCTTTTTAGGAGGTGGTGGTAATAACAACAACAACAACAACAGCAACAACTTCCTAGTCTAAATCCATTTTCCACAATCTTTTTCATTTTACTCTGTTGCCTCCCATTTTGATTTTCAGTTTTTTTGCTTCATTTCAAGTAGGCCCATCTACTTGGGGAAAAATAGTTCTTTAGAAAAAGCTGATTAATAATGCCTTTATCAGTTGCTTTACCGTCTGGGGAGTATAATAGTTTTATTTATTCAGAACATATTTATTTATACAATGCCCCCCTCATCTACATCGTATTAGGTAAGGTACATCCTGTAGGAAAATCTATGTAAATGAAGGTGAATGTCTATGTTACTATAGAATATGCAAATGGCTAGAGAGATTTTTACAAATTCATAGAATATGTTTGAGTGATAGACTCTTTTGAAGGAAAATAAAAGTGACATACAACTTGACAATCATCTGGTGGCCAGCTGAGAGGCATACTCTCTCAAGGGTAACTGTGACAGATGCACAATAAGAAATGAATTAGTATACCCAGACCTACGTAGTCATCCTCCAGACAGTTCAAACTGAGTCCGCATAGAGGTCTGGGCAACTGATGCGTGACAGCTTACTTCACAGACATCTAAATATGAAGTCCAACACAAGGACGTTTGGAAGATGTGCCCTATGTCATATTGCCCTGGAGGGAGACAACAGAGTACAAATAGATACCTCAGATCAGTTACTCTAAGAAATGTCACACTGAGTCGTTGTCCACAATTTGCTCTATTGCTCAGCTCTGCACTGTTAATGTGAATGCTGTACTAATGATAAGCTAACAGCTGTTTCTCATGGTTGATTCAACTAGAAGTTTTGGTAACTAGCTAAAGTGAAAATTAGAAATAAGCTTCTTTTTCTTTTCTTGAGGAATATCTTATTGAACCATTTGATGATATAGCAGCTCAACAGGAGGCTGGAACACACTACAGAGCTATGACCCACGATTCCCCAAATCTGAGATATGAAAACTTATTATCTCTCCTAAGTCCGCCTTCAAAACCTAAGTTGCCTTTTCTTTTAGTTTGGATATGGATTTCTTAATCTTCTCTAGTGCAGCAGGAAATGTTAACAAAAACATGTTTTTTTGGCTTGCCAGCAGGAAATCTAGGGCTGTTTGGTTTTCAAAGCCACTTGGGTCAGTTAATTCAAGCTACTTTACTGTACTTCTGGTTTTTGTACCATAACAGCCAAAGTTAGAGATAATTTCATGATAGTATTTCAAAATTATTTTATGATACTGTTTTCAAATCCCAAAGTTGGAACTAGAGTCCTCATGACTTCAATACAAAGTGTCATTATTCTTCCAATTAGATTGACCTCCCATCACAAAGAGACATGGTCCATTGGAAGTTATTTATTTGAAACTTTCTAATTATTACACCACATGTACAAGTAGATGTTTGATGAGGCAGATAAAAGTAAGCATGTTATTGGCTCAGGAATTAAAGGCCAATAGGAGTACATGTAGTTCCAGATGCAAACGAGAAGTTAACTCTGACAGGAGCAACTCAGAAACTGGAGGGATTATTTTAGTCGTTTCAGGATGACAGACATATTGTGTGGAGTATGATTTTCAGAGACTATTGTAGGGCTTAGGAGTATATTAAGCTAACTAAAGTTGGTAATATTGTTCCCATGTTGGCACTAAGGCCCATTCCTGAAGAGGTAACTGTTATAGGTTAGTGTTGGAGACATGGCATTTATTTGCTTAGAAATGAAGATTTAGATTTTTGCATCAGACTCTGTGAGGTTTGATGATGTTAGAATATTATAAATATTATAAAGTAGGTGAGAGGTAATAGTACTGCCGATTGATATCTAAATTGTTAAAAGTGCAGCAATAAAGATTTTGATGGTAGGATTGGATAGTGTATGACATATTTAATAAATAATTATGCTGACTGAAGCTACAATAGCGTAAGAGTCAGATTATAGAATTTGGGTGGCAGTTGTCCCTGGAGGAACATTGAGACTTTGATAAATCATCAGGTCGGTCAAAAAATAAAACAGACCAAGTAACAGCCGATATGCCAAGCGACAGACCAAAAGGGGCAGGGTGAGTATGTGTAAACTCGCTATTTCTGGGTTGCACAAAAATCCGTTGAATGAAAATAAGGAGTCTGGAAGGCTCCAGGCACTCAGTGGACTTGACCATTGGATAATTTGGACCGAGAAAGTTAGGGTTTGAGAGCAAAATTGTTGGGATACCATAGCATTTTAAAAAAGCATGATAGTTGTCTCTTCCATAGCCCAGGCGTGAACTGGCAGTATTTTACTCAAGGAGAAGTATTTAAATAACTTTAAGTGAGTGTAAAGTAGGGAGCTAAGGGCAAAGCTTAATTGTAATGATTGTAAAAAAAAAAAATCTTAGAAAGGTTGGCAGAGGAGATCATAGTAGGCATGAGCAAAGCCTACACCCAAGCAAGTTATTGTTAACAGTAAGGGAGACAATGGGGGATATCAGAGTTCTATAACCTTAAGAGAGTAAATAGAAAATAATATGGCAAGGTGATAAAGAACAAAAGTATACAAAGGAAAGTACGAGAATCAGTAATGTCAGGCACCTTGCAAAATCTCGTTCCATCAGTCTTGGGCAGAATTTTTCTTAGGAGCTTAGAATAGCTGTCTATTTCTGAAGGTCATTATTTCTGGAAGTTTTATTAGCAAACTTCCACTTAAGTTCTCCAGTAAACATAGTTTTCTACATGTCTTTAGCCAATAATTCCGTTTATTTGGGTATCTTTTTACCCAAGGTCTACTTCATAGTTAACTGCAGGGTCATTGAAGCCTATAAAGAAGACTATTGGTATATTTTTCAGAGTATTCATTGTCGAGGTTGAAAGAAGGGAGAGCTTTTAGGGAAGCTCTGAGGGTGAGTTTTTAGGGAAGGCTTCTGGAACTTACAGATGAGTTGGTTCCTGACAATATTTAGTTATGTCTACATGAAGCAAGCTTGATTCAGATTGATAAAAGACTCATAATCATATGGATGTTCTAGTTATTATTTCCTAAAGTGAATAGTCTGTAAGTTCTAGAGGAAGTTAACCTGATCCGATGGACATTGGAACTGAAGGTAAAACTCTTCACCAAGGAACTTCAGGAGCCTCAGAGCTTGGCAGTTTAGGATTGATAATACTATTTTTATGCTCTACATTTCCCAAGGATTGTAGATTGTAGCATTTTTGATCAAATGGTTAACAAACTATAAGATTCTTTATAAGTCTTCTGTGTAAGGCTACTATTAGTGGGGAAGGTTATAGCATTCAATTTCTTAAGTCACATTTATGGAAGCAGCCTTTCTGTGTAGGGAGGCCGATATCTATCTAAAGAATTTATAGACAACTACAAAAACATATCCTTAAGTATGCAATTTGGACACAGCCCATTTTTATTTGGAAGGTTCTTCTGGAGTATGATTTAGACCCATTTAGACCCATGTCCCACTGCCTAGTTTTCCTGGAATATTATAGCAGGATATAAGGCAAAAACTAGACATAGCTCCAGCTATAGAGGAGAAATTTTCCCATCTACTCTTGTTCAGAGATTATCTTACTTTTTCTATGATGGGACTTGTGGTATAAGATTTTTGTCAAAGGCCATCTTGGACTTTGGGTCATGTCATTGGTGGTGTGCCAAAGACCACTGAAGTGGCTGGAGGATCCTGATTTTAGGAAAGGTTTGTTTTCTAAGTCAGGGGCTGAATTTTTGATCTCCCATATTCTGATTTATTTCTGTAGATGACTACAAAAGTACCACCTGTTTTGCCTAATGATCTGCTGACACATCTCCCTTTGCTATGTAGAGATTTTTATTTTACTAGAAAAATTAGGAACCTATTGTCTAAAATATCTCACGTATCTCCAAAAGTCTATGAATTGTAATTTCACTTGGTCTTGGTTATTGCTGAAACAATTTAATACTCTCCTCAAGTAGGGTCCATTCTTTAGAAGAGGCGTTTTAAATAATGTATCACCATTTTTTAGAATTGAAAATTTTCCTTTGCAGTCTTATTATCTTTTGCTCCTAGTTTCTTTAAGTCTTCTTAGGGGTTTTCTAGGTCAGGTGAAAATACACATATTGAATGAGAATCAAATCTCTTGAGAATACTGTTTTTTACAATATTGTTTAATCTATTTCCCATTTGCCCCGAAATTACTTGCTGGCGGTGCTTGCAGCTGCTGCCTTTACCCCGAGATAACTCGTGTGTCACAGTCCTAACTTTACCCCCAAAGTTTGCCACGAAGTATCTCGCTTTTATTATTATTTTCATGTCACTCCAGTGTGTTGATAATCTTTGGAAATAAATGATATCATTCTGTTTATAGCATTCTGGTTTTAGTAGTGGTATGGTCATTTACAAACTATAGTAATTCTCGTTCACTGAAAATGTCAAATCCTAGATGTTCTGCTTTATGTTGTTCTGTGCTTTAAAATTTACCACACACACACAAAAAATTATTAAATACTGATCATCATATACGTTTCTGTTACATTAGGATTAGAGACAAGTTCTATTCAGAAATAACTCCAAGAACAGTTTTTATATTTTATTTCTACATTGAAAACCAGTCGAATTTGCTTCAAAGAGCATGTTTATGTAAAATTAATGCTGGCACTTTTTTTTTTTTTTCCTAAACGGGAAATGGGTTAAGTACTGGGAGAAGTCGAAGGTGCCTCTGTGAAACTTTGAGGCATTCTGGCCAAGCATGTTGTTAATTTTTTTTTTTTAAGCACATAAATGTTGAGTTTTTATATACCAGACAATGAAGAAGGGAGAAGAGAGGTCTGTACTGCAAAGTACTTGCATTTGGATGAAACCATAGAGTAGTATTAGGACGTGATGCAACCAGAAACCTGGGAATAACGCTCATATTAACGATCTTTTAGTTTAACAGTATCCCTTTCCTTTAGGCTTCTTGACAAGCAACCTGAGATACTACAGGTAGTTGTACAAGGACTGGTTCTATCTAGGTGGTTGTAATTGGCTTTATTCTCAGAAAAAAAAATTAATAGCTTCAGGGAAATAGTCTGAGCAATGGTTTGGAAGAATCTTTATAGGATCTACTTCCATAATATGTACATCCTACATTAGAAGAGTATTTATCCCATAAATGGTCAGGTGAAATAAGGGTAAGGAATCTACGGTTTAAGAGTCAATGTTGGGAAAGTTCAGAAAAGTCAAATGTAGCAATTACATGATTGTGCACTTAATCAGACAATTATTTTTCCATTAAAGATCTCTTCCAAGTATATTGGCAGGTGCAGAATCATAAAGGAGACATAAACGCATTTTTTATAGTCCTAATGTGTAGACAAAGGCTCACACATTGGGAGAGAAGTAGATTAATTCAGAATACCCCTAGCATTACTGTAGTAATTATTCCAAGACCAGTCATCTAATTTTGCACTTGGGTTCAAAGTAGAGAGTAGTGTTTGCATCCAGTAGAAATATGCATATTTGTTCTCCTATGGTTATAGATAACTCTTGTTTTGAAAGTGGTAGCAGATACAATGGCCACCTAGGGAAACCCAAAATCAGAGCTCAGTTTATTGTTTACCAGGTGAGGAAGATCCACATCTCTTAGGAAAGGAATGTGAATCTCACTGCACTGAATGTAAGAGGGCTGGATATAAAATGAAAAAGCAGCTTTGTCTGTGGGAGGTAAAAGCCAATCTATTAGTTTCTGAGTGGCTCAGAAGCAGATCACAAAGTCTCTCCTGGGAGAGGCTATTATTTGGTTTCTGTCATCGAACCTGAGGGCATGAGCCTCAGACAGGTCCAGGATGAGTTATATAAAGTCTTGGCAGGCTCTGAGGTCACACAGCGGGCAAAACCATACAGGCTTTTCCTTTCACACATTGGCAAATAAAAAGAGCAAACATGATTCTACTGGGGGGAAAGTCTATATTTCTATGTAAAAACTAAATGCAAAATATATTCTGGAAGACTACTCAGCAAACTGATAGTAGAGGCTGCTCTTGAGTGGGACCTGGATGATGATTTTGTGTCCGATGTTGCTGCATAGTAAATGCATAATAAGTATTCATTGAATGAGTGAATGAATGAAATGTATTTATTGATTTACCATTGAAAACAGTTTCAGGGAGAGTTGGAGCTGAGCAAGTAGTGCTGAATTGCATAGACAATTCATTTAAGAGGTTTGGCAGTGCTGGGGCAGGTTGAAGTTAAAGGGAGTCTATTGTGGCCTTTTATGTCTCACCTCATATTTTATTTTCCAGGGTTTCCTCATACCTTGATATGTTCCCTCAATAATACCTCTTTGGTTCCCATGACCTTCAAACTGCGTATCCCTGGGGATGGCGTTGGCGATAAAAGCATTCGAGGTTGTGAGCAGTATTCAGACAACAAAAGACCATCTTGGAACAAGGATGAAGTACCCATAATGAAACCAAAAGAATTCACCATCACCCCCAGCTGCGGCACCATTCGCTCCCAAGGATTTGCTGCTATCAGGGTAAAGTGCACAGCCTTCCAGCACACACAGCCAACCAGCTGAACTTTCAAATAGCCACTGGGAACCACATCCAGGGTTTGTTCTATATACCCGGTGTCAATGGGGAGGAATGCCTCTAATTCACGTGGGAAAGTGGGCCTATAAGAAAATAAACTACCGAGGCAAAAGAAACCAAATACGAATATACTGGGCAGAAGGCCTGACACTGCTCCAGTGGCTTTCCATCAGTCTAGATGCGTTGCCCTCACCAGAATAGTGGATTGTAGTGATTTCTAGTGAAACCACTGCTCTATGCAGATGGCATACCAATCAGTACTAATAGAAAAAGATTTAAGGGCTCATTGACAATTAGGTCCTCCTTTCCTTCAGACTCAAAACGTGAATACCAATCAATGTCCAGATTTATGTCAGAGAAGATATCTAGTCGATTCAGATTTTTAATGCAAATCTGGGCTTTATGGTAAATGTGGATGTGATATTCCTAGCAGTGCTTAATATTTAGGTTCACAGAGTGATGCTTTGGTTATGGCTTTGCGGTGCCACCAGCAGAATTATCTCATGGCTAACGGAGAAAGGTTTTACTGTCCCCCTGCGCTTACTTTTTTCTCTCCAAACAGATCTAGACTTAAAATGATTTTATCCTTTCTGGGAAAAGAAAAAAGATAAGATTTTATAGCTAAGGTTAATAATTTTCTTTTTAGTCATTATCTGTGAATATTTAACTCAGCTATGGTTTTATCCACAAAATTTGTTTTAAATGTTTCATAGTATCCCACCATGAATCCACTCATCCTAAATCTTTTCTGGGAATTTTTAGCTCTTCCAAGGGCTTCTGCATGGTTCCAGTGAGGTTTACTATCATACATCATTATAACTTCTCAGGGTTGCTATCTCAGTTCGTTTGGGCTGCTCCCACAAAACATCAGAGACTAGGTTGCTTATAAACAACAGAAATTTATTTCTTACAATTTGAAGGCAAGTAGTCCGAGATCAGGGTCCCAGCGTGGTTGGGTTCTGGTGAAAGCCCTCTTCTCTTCCATTTGCAGACTGCCAACTTCTCCTCGTGGCCTCACACGGTGGAAGGGGCTGGGGAGCTCTGTGGACCCTCTTTCATAAGGGCACAGATCCTGTTCACGAGGGCTCCCCCCTCACGACCTAACCACAACCCAGCAGCCCTGCCTCCTAATACCATCGCACTGGGGGTTCAGGGTTTCAGCATGTGAAGCGGTCAGAGCACAGCCATTCAAGTCCTAGCGCTTGCTTGACTCTCCCAGGGAGAAGCACTGCTGCAGCGAATTTATTTATTATTTACCTAGTAACACTCAGCTTACATGTTACCTACCTTCCCCCCCGCCTACTTTTTTTGCCTCTCCCACATAGTACGGGAAGGTTTTAGAAGACATAGCCTCTATCTAGAATACTTCTGCCAGAACCACTTGTTCTTCTGCTTTCTAACCATAGCTCAGAGACATAAACGAGGCTTAGAGTCACTCGAGGAATCTCTTCATGCTGGGGCACCTGCTTCTCTCCAAATCTGACATGATTTCTTTCTAAATCAATGACTCCATCTTTATTTTATTTTTCCTTTATATTTGGACAAGCTTTCTCCAAGCTTCAGTTTTCCTTCATGATCTGCACTCCAACCACGTCCATGTGGACTCAAATTTGCATCCAATAATTCCCTTTGCAACCAAAAAAAATTTTAATTAGTACTTGATACATAATTTATAGATAGAAAAGCCTTAACCTGTGCCAGAAGCTGTTTTCTAGATTTACAAGCATCTCTTCCAGTACAAATCATTTTAAAGCAATTAAACATTGTAACAAAGCTTCAGAAGCCTAAATGTAACATTTCACAACAGTCAATAAAAACATAGGATGAAATATGCTGGGCAGATACTGTCCTTGGGTAGACCTTTCTTTGGAGCTTCCTGTTTTCTGTTCTAATAATGAATATCAGTGGTGGTGGGGCAAGATTTTGGTTTTAAAAAAAGACTGGTTGATCTCTCATGCCATTCTCTGGAACTGACATAGTTATTTCATTTATTTTGCTACAAGAGAAATTTAGCTATAATGTTTTGTCGATGTATGGAATTTTCGTAATTTATATTGCCCAGAGGTATAGAGAACAATTTAAATTGCAGTAATTAAAGTTTGTTTGATGTTGTTCATCCTTTAGGGTCATTTTTCCCCTTATGCTTCTTTAACACAACCTCCTCGGAAATGAGCAGACCTATTGTACTAAAAGCCATTTGGTTTTTAACCTGGCCTTTGAAAAAACTCAGCGTGCCCTGACCTGAAATGTAACTCGTTCAGCTAAAAACGTAAAACGCCATGCATCCCATAATAAAATACTTAGAAGCCGCAGTCATCAGTACGGTCATCCCCCTGGTCTTTTAGAAGAGCAGCTCTTCTCCTTTTTCTTTCCAGGTGACCTTATGCTCCAACACTGTGCAGAAATATGAACTGGCTCTGGTGGTGGATGTGGAGGGCATCGGGGAAGAAGTGCTGGCGCTCCTAATTACAGCGAGGTATCACACTCGCCTGCTTCTCTCTTCCGAGTCTCCCCTGAGTCTGCAGTAACGGACTGCCTGTCTGGACGGCAGCAGGCCTGCCACCAGTTCACGCTGCACTTTGTTCTGCTTTCCTGGGAAGGGAGGCTGAATCTGATATTCAAATGACAAAACTTTAAAACAGCAGAGATACCTTTGATGGAGATAAGAGAAGGGATGTGTGTGTTTTGCAGTGTTAAGAATAATCGCGCTCTCTGTTCTTTGACTTTCTGACTTCCCAAGTATATAACTAAAAGGGTTTTAGCAGGAAGAGAAGGTGAACAGTTGCTGTTTTTTATTTTTATCTTTAAATACAGTATTCCAGAGTTACGCAGCAAGAGTAGTGCTCACAATCCTGCAGGGGAAGATTCATTTAGCAAGGCAGTCCTGCTTCAGACACTGTCGCTATGACTTGAAAGCAGGCTACAGGCTGTACCCCCAGATGACGCCCTCTCTAACAATATACATGCCTCAGAACCATCACCCACTTCTCCCTTTTTTAACAAAGGCAGCAGTAGGCTCTGGAATCAGGTTAAAGTCCTGGCTTTTTTTGTTGACCATGTCTCCTTGACCAAGTTACAGTCTTTCCAAGGGTAGTGTGTCACCTACTGATGATGACAGTGATCCCCAATGAAATCATGGGCCACACTCTTGCCGAAGCAAACAGGTGTCCAGATCTGGGACTTTAGAGTGTATATGTGAAAATGCCACCTAAAGGAAAAAGAACAAATTATTTAGTAAAACTCTAGTAATATATCAATTCCTAGAATTTAGGTCCATCATGAATCTTAGGAAGATGTACCTTAAAGAAGATGCAGATGTGCTAGGAAGTGGGGACATCATAATGGACACCATTTCATGTGCCTTGGGCTTGGACAAAGTCAGAGGGCAGCCCTAAAAGAACTTGAAGGTCAAGGTCTTGCTGTGACCTATGTAGTATTCCTTCTAAAGATTCAACTAATTTGTTTGTTTAAAAACAGCACAAAGTCTTTCATCTGGTCCTCTCTATACCCAGGTTTGCCTTTTTGTCTAGTCTTGCATTTCTTTTCAATGTGGGTTTATTCTGACACTTTCCAGACTCTTTTCCCTGAAGCTATCAATCAGAAATCCTGAATGTAAAAAAAAAAAAAAAAAAAAGGTCCTAAGAGGCTATGTGATTTCTACCATGTATGTTCTGTGACCCAAGTCAAATACTATAAACCCACTCAGCCACAGTGTTTCAGGTAGTAAAGGATTAGCTTTATGAAAGTCGTTGGGTCAACCAACAACTTTTATTCTAGATAAAAATGAATACTCATCCCAGGTGAAGCCCTAAGCTTTGGGGTTAACAAGTCTCCCATGTCATTACTTTAGTGTAATCTGCAGGAACTGCTCGAATACTTCCAACAGAAGAGTTGCTTTAGCACTTGCTCCCTAAAGTAGCTTTATCAGAGAGCCAGGAATGACAGCTTGCCAGCCCCCATCACATGTTAATTGTCTCTTACTGAGCTGTTCCCTGGCACTGTGCTGTGACCTTCATTCACGTTATCTCCTGTATCTCCCACAACACCTGAAGAAGAGTTAATGATGCTAATGGCAATCCTTAGAACTGCCTTCATTTTACCAATAAGCAAGATGGGACCCCAGGAGGGAAAGCGTCTTGTTCAGGGTTGAACTCGGTAAGGTCAGTATCTAAACCTGGCTCTGACTGATTCAGACGCCAGTAATCCTCACCATTGCACTATATTGTGACAGTGCAGCCGGGCAGGTCGGATGTTGAGATCCACAGATACAAAATAAAACCCAAGTCACCTAATAATAGACCAGTTGCACACACAGGGCCTCAATTCCTCCCTCTCTGGCACACAACTCTCCCTCCCTCGCCCCCAGCACACCCCCTCCATACTGAGCACCATTGTCACAGTGCCACTTCTGGGTCAAGCAGCTGCCTGAGCCTACTGATTTGAGACAGCTGTTCTGCAGAGGCATTAGAATTATTACCATTATTTAAATGGTGTGAGCTATTGCTAGTCCTCAGGGGATTCTGACTGGTCCAAAGTGTCACAGCTAGTTAGGACCCCATGCTGGTGGAATTGGCCCTGTTTGCCATGGAAACAGATCCACTACCCTAAGGAACTTGTACTGTGGGGGCCCCTTGCCAAAGGGAGTCCAAATCAGAAAAACAATGGAAATGTTAGTCATTATCCACAGAAGACAGCTGTTTAAGGAGTCCTGCTTCTAGCCCTTTTTTGATTAAAAAATGGTGACGGGGGCCTAAGGAAGAGTGATGACAGGAGGAAGATTTGAAAATGATTAATGTTGGTATTAGAGAAAACCGTGACAGTGACTGTCGTGTTTAACCTGGGACTCTGTTCTCCATATGTGAACAGCTCTCTAGTCTTTTAAATTCTTTAATGGGTTCCTTCCTTCGAGCAGGTGTGTTGTCCCTACCCTCCAAGTGGTAAATACGGAGGTGGATTTTGGGCGCTGCTTCCTGAAGTACCCGTATGAGAAGTCGGTCCAGCTTGTCAATCATCATGACCTCCCGGGATGCTACGAGCTCCTGCCTCAGGTGAGTTACTTTATCCTTTTTCAGTGTCGATTTTTCTTCAGTTGGATTCTCTCGACGAGAGAGATTCCTAAACACATGACCTTATATAATTCTGACTTTTAACCCTGGGATAATCCGGGAATGGGGTTATAAAGCCACAGCTGGATTGTCCACCTGCATGAATGAGCAGCTGCAGGTATAAACAAGTTGTTACTTTCTCAGGAAAATTGCTTTTGATAAAGAAATAAAGGGTCAGCTAGGCCAACATGCAAAAGTAGCACCTGCAAATAACTGCCTGTGAATTAACCATGCACGGGAAATGAGGCAGAGCTAGGGGTTTTCATCTATGTCTCCGGCTGTGGCTTGACCAGCTTCACTAGGATATAGTAATGCAATATTCATAAATGGACTTGTTGGACTAGAAGGCTAGAGGTAATATAGGAATGAGAAAGAAAGTATTTCCTCTTAATGTTTTATGAAGTAGATCTGTCCATATGCCACTACACCTAGCTAGGTGGGACAGTAAGCAGTCAAACGCACATGGATAATGGATTTAAAAAGATCTCTACAGCCTAGAGTTTAGGAAGGTTCCCAATGAGATGCAGTTTACCAAGAATGCATTGGGGTTTAAAACTCAGTTCTGTAAGTACAGTACTCTGATAAAAATGTATACAAACAAAATCAAATGGGGGTTTTATTGGCTACAAGTTCAAAATGAGTTAAAAGACCAAATGAAGGCCACAGAACTAAGGCGGGACTAGATTACATCAGAGAAACAGTGTTCAGCTAAAGGAAGGAGATGGCCCCTGGTCAAAGCAGTGCCAGAATTTCGTCTTCAGATCTTGACATTGTATTGTTGTAATAGACACTTGAAAAAAAAGATGAATTGTATTTAGAGTAACCAGAATGGCAATCTACATCATCCAGAAATCCAAGTCATATGAGAGCAAGCATATGTTTAATCTGGAACAGACAAGATTTAACCAGGACAAAATAGCTACCCCTAACTAGTCAAAGGGCTATTATGTAAAAGAGGGAGAGTTATTCTGTGGGCTTCTCTGAGACGAAACCAGAATCCAGGGGTGGGGGTGACAGGAGATGCATTTCTAACTTTCAGATGCTTAACAGCGGAACAGGCTATCCCGGTGCAGTGCACGGTCATCTCAAGAACTCAGAGCAGAGCCTGCATCTGGGCCGATGGGGATGCTATTTCTGCACAGCTAGGCTGGGGAAAGGGTGAGGTACTTTGCTTGAACACACAATTTAAGGGGAGCCAAGAAACTCAGTAATCAAATAATATTTTCATGCCACATTTTAAGAAATCAAAATCAATGTGAAAAATCCATGATGAACAAAATATCAAAACTTCAAATAAAGACAGAATCAGTATTACTGATTTCCCTTTGCCTCAAACTCCAATAGGCTGAACAATGCGCTACTGCAGAGGGATGTCGAGTTAGATTAGGCCACTTTAAACCATGGGGTGCTCCAGACCGGTGAAACCTGCATGCTCTGTCTTCTCGAGCTGAGGGTCTGAGAAGTGTTTCCCAGAATTACCTAAACTTATTTGGCTATGGAGTTTTTTTTTTTTTTTTGAAGAATTTTTGGGATCAATTTTATTTAGGCTTCTCACAGTGGTTAGAGCACAGAAAATGCATCACCAAGACTATCCAGAAAAGTCTGACCAGCTGAATCTTATTGCTTAAAAATACACGCATTCACAGCAACTGACAAATGGTGAAGGGCCTCATGTAGGAATGTGTCAGCATTTGCAAATCTTCCGACCGTAGCACCAAACCCTCGACCAACCCTTTCCTTCTTATTCCCCTGGAAAACCAGACCAAATCAAATCTGCCTGGTCCCCTAACCAGTCTCAACTCCCATTTCCATCTCTTCCCACACAGAGTAGCCTCCTACAGCAGGGGCCAGACTGTGACTGCTGGAATTGGGCCCAGCTCCACCAGTGCCATTTTCTTCACGTGCCCTTAGGGTAGGACACTGCAGCAAACCCAGCAGTTGACACTCAGACCAGTTCCCCACTCTAACTGGGAAAGGAAATTTGAGAGGGCCAGAATTCATCCATTTGATAGTTAACTGAAGAAGGATTCGTTTTAGTAAAACTTGATCTCCTTGGAGACACTTCAGTGAGTTGTTTGGGACTTAAAAAAATGATGGAAAGCAAGGCATCTGCGGGCTACTGACACGCTCCTGCCTCCTCTCGCCCACTCCCGCCACACACCGGCCTGCTTACACGCGCTGGACCTCTGCAGAGGGAGGCAAGCCCTGCAGTGTCTACCAAACCCTTCCGGCAGTTCTGGGCAGAGCTGACGTCTGGGCCACAGCTAGGCCAGGCTTTTCACTGAAGATCCGGTTAAGCTTCCGTTTGAATTCCACCTTAACCTTCTGTCCCCTGTGGTTGTGGACACTCCCCAGGGGCTAATGCAGAGGACCAGGAACAGCTGAAGGAGGCAAACAGATTCAGAGCAAATTGCATTGATGGGTGTAGTAAAACCTCTGCTTTGAGCACAGACGCTGGAGACTGCTGTCAACAATGCTGCTGAATACACCCGAGCGTGTAGTCAGACATTCGTTCAGTAAACAGTAAATGCGTAAAATAAATTACCTTGAGAGGGCCGTATTAGCTACAAATGTGCAGTTAATATAAGCAGAATGGCTGCCATTCAAATATATTCACAAAAACCAGGGCTATGGCCTCAAAATGGACAGACAGCCAGGTTCTCCCAAAAGTCACTGTGTATGGACTTCACTTTGGTCAACATGGATTTTGGTTTTGTGGACTCCAAACTTAGACACTTGTTCACCTCACAGCCTTGGATTTGTGTGTGTGTGTGTGTGTGTGTGTGTGTGTGTGTGTGTGTGTGTATTTTTTCCTTTCTTAACCATAATGCGAAACCTAGTCTGAATATCATTAAAGAGTCAGGGAAGAACTGAACTCTGCATGTGAACAAGCAGGGCAGGGAATGTTAGTTCTGGTGATTTGCTTTCTACAGTCAGATTCTTCCTGTCAAAGCTCAACTGGTTGTCTGAGGCCGATGTGCAGGCATAAGGGCCCTGGTGTCCTTCTGGACGGCTGCCCTCACACCCACCCCGGCCCCCTTGGACTCTACGTACACTATAGCAGTTAGTTACCCCAGTCACGGGGTTGGGGGACAGGGAGTAGGCAGATAACCAAGGCGTTATTTCCAAATGGTTAGTTTAGAAAAGAAAAAAAAATGTCTTGGGCAAGTGCAGTGTGCGAGCCAGGCTGTGGGGCTGCCCTTCCTCAGGAAAGTGTCTTGAGAAAGTGCAGAGTGCGAGCCAGGCTGTGGGGCTGCCCTTCCTCAGGGCCCGTCGCTGCCTCATTTGTTCATTGCGACATACAGGCCTACAGGGCCACAGACCATGTGCTTGGCATGGGGGAGGGCCCTCGCCACCTATGTGCACAGACGAAAGGGCAGAGCTGCGGAAAGCTACGCCTCCATCTGCACCACAGCTTAGGCCCTCCTCTGCAGCCCGCAGAAGGCGCAGAGATCGCCCTGCCCAAGCCGCTACATGAAATCTCTCCTCTGCCTCAGCTGCAGCCAGGCTCTTCGAAGGCTAGCTTTGGAAAGAGTCATAAACTTGCCTTTTCTAGAACAGAAGAATTCTTGCCTGCCCACTGGTAAAGTTATTGTTTTCAGCTTGCTTTGGTTTTTTGGTTTATTTTGTTTTTTAAAGAAAAATCAAAGAGAAGGCAGTCTAATCTTCTACACCTGAACCAGTCTGCAGCCAGCCAGAACCTGCTGGGCAGGACCCCTCAAGGATGCACAGTGATGCATCGATCTCATCATCTGGAATTTGAGAATGCAGCAAGCCCCGTTCCAGGCTACCACACAACTGCCCGTCAGCTCTCAGCCTCCCACAGGATTAAGTCTAGTTCTGGCTCTGCAGACACTGGCGGCGAGGGCGACATCCCCTGGGTCTCCGCGGGCTTCCTTCTCTGGCCGTGGGATTTTTAAAGCTTTATTTGTGGTTATTGTCATTGCATAAAAGCTAGTGATATGCTGCAGAGCCAGGTTCTGGGCAGCACACCTTGGTAGACACTGAACAACATTCATTCATTCATTCATTTATTCACCTACCTATTTCACCATTTAAAAAACATGGACTGAGCATATATTCTAGGCCAGAAAGTGGACGTGTACTGAGAAAAAACCCAGGTCGTGCCCTAAGAAGTTTACAGCCTGTGGTGAAGATGGACAGACAGATAGTGCATGCTATGGAAAAGGACTGCACAACGTGCCCTGGGGACAGGGCAAAAGCTCTGACTCTAGAGCACTGGAGATGCCCGGGGCATTTGGGGTGAGCGTGCAGGCAGGTCAAAGGGAACGGGCGCTCCAGGAGGAGGAAACACAGTGCAAAGGGTCAGCTATGGGAAGCAACAGCATGTGTTCAGGAAATACCAGTGGCCTCTGTTGATGGAGCACAAATGGACAAGGTGGTGGGGAGCAAAGCATGAAAGCATGGAGGGTCAGGCTAAGGAAGGTGACCATGGGAAGCTGTTGTCCTGAACTAATTCACATTGTGGATAATTTCTGCATCTTGCTGGTTGTACACTTTGAATTGGGGGCCTTATGCATACCCCACTTAACCAAACTTCCTTTTGGCAGAATTGAGGTTGCTTGTCCCCACGTACTTGCTTGAATGATGATACATTTCTAAAGACCCCGCAAGGACACAGGACGTTTGTTTTGAAATAATCTAATATGCTATTGATTTCATCCCACGCCAGGGGCTTGCTCATTCCTCTGGCTTGTCTCTCCCACCAGGTGTATGAGGACGCGCCCGCCGTGTTGCTCTCCAGCCCCAGGCCCTCTGGAATCATCCCTCCCCGCAGCACCGTTCACATACCTCTGGCCTTGGAGACCCAGGTCACTGGGGAGCACAGATCCACAGTTTATATCTCAATCTTTGGGAGCCAGGAACCCCCTATGGTAGGAGTCAGTTTTCAGAATTGCAGTTAAAATTGCTCTACTTCCTACCAAACATTTCAAACCTCTGCATTTAAGGCACGCGCCATATTTGCATATCCTCCAGTTGCTTGTAGTTCTAGAGTTCTACAGTTGTCACTCTACAGTGGTAAAAAAACTAGCAACGTGTTACATTGGGAATCTATTTGCAGATACATCCAAATGTAGTAGTGTTTTGTGGCACTTGGTCTTAAACTCCTATCAGGAGTTTTTACACAGCAGAGACACTCCTGACCCTTTTCTAGACCTGTTAATCAGAGTCTCTGAGGGGAGAGCAGATCTGCATGTTTAACAATCTCCTCAGCTGTCCCTGGTGCAAAGCTGGCCTTGGGCATCACTAGCTTGCTGCATGTGGCTCTGAGGTTGGTGTCACCCATTGCCCACTGGACCTTTTCCTGTATATTGACTGGACTCATTGCCCAAAAAATCTACTGAAGCTGTGAAGAGAAGTAGCCTCCCTCCAAGTGTGGGAAAAGGAAGATATGGAAAGCTCTCTGATGCTTGAGCTGAGTGAAAGGATGAATCTTGAATCTTGAAGGACGTTACCTAATGGTCTATGTATTCCTAGACATTTGGTTTACTTGGAAGCTGGGCGATGCCAGCGTACAATTGTTTGAAGTGACTCTGATTACTTGGCGAGTAGAATAAATTAGAATTTTGCTTTAATCTCTTCTATATAAGATGCCATAGATAAACCTCCTGACTTATAAAGCAGCATCACAAAGGCAGGTCAGTCCAAGAGGTGCTGCTGGTCCAGGTTCCCTGCTTGCCCACCCTGTGCCCACCCTGCAGAAATGTAGCTCATGAGATGGTCATTTGTTGAGCAGGCAGCACTTTATGAAAGAAGAAGGCCCCTTTTCTCAGGTAGATACAGTGCCTGGCCGAGAGCACAGGGAGAGGGTAGCAGACCAAGGTGGATTTCAGTCCCCAGCTTGTACCGCTGTGCTCAGTGGATGGCTCTGTGAGCCTCTAGAAGCAACAGAACGGGGCTCAGTCCAGCCACTTCTGACTCTGTAGTGCTAGTCCTTAGCCCTGTGCTAAGTATTTTTGAGGCCCGAGTGCCAGGGGGCATATAGAGGAATGTTACTCTGGTTTCCCCTCAGTGCGAAGCTCTGAGCTGACATAAGGAAGCAAATCATCCTTCTTGGGGGAGAAATTCCACATTGAATTCACAGATCTGACCAGCATAGCGAGCCTTGTGTCCTGCTGGCCATAGTACTAGGGAAAAGGGATGTCAGTTCTCATAAGTATCCTTTTATGCCCCTGCTTTTTATTAAAGTGGTGGCTAGAAGCTTGTTTCAATTGATTTTAAAGGCCTACCATTTTCAGCTCTTCCTGTATTCTTTCTCTCTCTGGAAACACAGGTATGTCACGTAAGGAGCGTTGGAGAAGGCCCAGTTATCTACGTTCATCCCACTCAAGTTGATTTTGGCAATATTTATGTCCTAAAGGACTCCTCCAGGATTCTCAGCCTATCTAACCAGGCCTTCATCCCTGCATCATTTCAGGCACGCATGGTGAGTAGACTGTGGGACTGTCGTGTGATGAAAATACAGCTTTGCCTAAGTCTTATAGGTAGTGGCCCTATTTTTGTAACATGCCTTTGAAATGATCACCAGAAGCAAAGATTTACGTGGTTCAACTGCATTAAACTGTCGTTCTCATCCCCAATTCTTTTTGTTGACTAAGAAACACAAAATGCATGTAGTTCGGTAAACCAGCAACTACATTTACTAATAATCTCAGTTCAGGAAGATGCTTCAGAGATCTCCTTACTCAACTGTACCTAAGCCCAGCCCCACACCTCCAGAAAACCCCTTTTAAATGTCTCTGTAACTGAAAATACCTCCTTATATTTAATTTGAACCCTTTTGGCTACAAATTTGTTTGTATACTTATTCTATTTTTTTCTCTTTTCCATCGTCAATATTTTAATGTAGTTTATAAGGATATAGGAAATAATAAGACAGTATTTGCCATAAGTAGAAATTAAAGAAAACAGTGAAATGGACAGATATAAAATGGTTCTAGACATGAGTCCATCTTATTTCTGTGTATTTTGTAATGATATTTAAATCTCATAGTCTTCTATAAGCTAACTTTTTAACAAATAATAACTTTTTTTGCAGAATTTAGGAATTTCTAACCTAGTAATTAGAAAATTCTTGATTTTAGAAAAATTTGCTAAATTTAATATAAAATTTTAAATAGTATACCCTTCTCCTATCTTCAAATTATTGACAAATGAATGCTAACATTTGGTTTCAGCATTTATCAGATATTTCTGAAAAATAAAATATTAATTTTGTAAGTCACTATCAGAATGAATAGGGTCTTAGTTTTTTGCTGACTTGTGACAGCTCCTCAGTGTCATTGCTCCTAATTAGCAGCCATTTATCATTACCATTATTTCTTTTTATTATCATTTGTTCTTACTCCTTGAAAAGGCAGCCATTTCCTGTGCAGTCATTGCTCATTTAACATGAGGTTGAGACACAACCCCACTCTTGCTCCAGTGCCTTGATCTTGTGTAAAAAATAACATGTAATAATGTGTAAAGAAAAATCCTGTAGAAAAGATGCCTTTGCTAGTCTTTATCCAATGAATTGATGCGTTTGGTGGAAAGCATGGGAATTGACAGGTTGGGTGGAATTGCTTAGGAAGTACGCCTTCCAGTTTAGATTTCTACATGCAGAGTTCAGAGTGGGGGAGGAAGAGAGTCAGATGGCCTGGCCAGGGTGGTGAGAGGTGGGCACTGGAGGGGCCTAGCTGATTACAGAGGAAGTGTCGCCTACACCCTGGGCCCTTGTGATCTCCCAGGGTGGAAATCAAGAGATTGCCAGACACCAATGTAAACAGAGAGAAAGTTTTATTAAGCTTCTGCACAAGGGAAGCAGCACTGGAAAAAGGAAGAAATGAGGGGGGGGGCGTTCCCCGAGAAAAGCCTGGGCAGGGGTTCTAAAGGGAGTCAGGTGGGGAAATAGCTATGTCTAGGCACGTAGAGGCCGAGGTTTCTTGGCACCTGGTCACTTGGGCTACATGTCTCTTCAGCATGTTCATTAGCATGTTAAATCTCCACCCTGGGGTGTGGTTTTTAGCATCTTAATGAAGATAAGGATATACAGGGGCGCTTTTGAGCCTGACTGCCCCTGCGGCACCAAAAGAAAAGTCCTCCAGCCCTTTGTAAGAGGGTCCTTGTCTTAATGGTGATCATTCTCCCTGGGGCTGGTGTCCTTGGGGAACTTCTAAGTATTAGCTGCTATGGTCTGTTTGTTGAACCCCACTGACTCAACTGTAGGAGGCTGCCTCCCTGTCTCAGCAAGAGATGGGCAGAGGCCACAACACTGCTTAGTACAAATATAGCAACTGTTTCCTTTCCTACCGCCTCCCTTTTCGTTCTCAGATGTCTCCAGATTTCACTTTTTTATAGCAACTTTTGGAACCTTTCAAGAAAAAAAAAGCAGGTCAAAGATCTGTTGTTTTTACTAATATAGCGTCTATAGTGCATGACCCAGCTAGTTAATGAAATGGGACTTTTTCTTTTCCACAAAAGTTTCATGATTCCATCTTTTGATTCTTTAATATCATCTTAAATTATTTTTTAAAATCAGTTTTAAGGAGCCAAATGTGTGATATAAGTGATCTGCTGTAGAATGTTTTTCCCTCAGTCCTCACTTGGAAAACTGGTGTTTATTGAGTTAATTGCCCCGAACACATCAAAGCTGTTTCAAAGGTAATTCTCATTGGTGAAAATTAAACCGTTCATATTTCGACTGGGATTTTTGATGGATTTCCTAGTAAATTCTGTATGTGTTAATACTATGGAAATTGAATTATACCAACTTAGAAATTAAACACAATGGTTAATTTCAAGTTGATGTGTCGTACTGAACGTGCAGATTCATTCATACTGAAATTACTAAGCATTAGGAGAGAGTTTCAATTAATAGTTGCTTGTTCTCTAAGCCTACAGCTCAGTACCCAGGTAAGTGGTAGTTAAATATTTATTGCATTTAATTTCTAGCTCATTGAGAAATAAGTAGGGTCAAGGATACATTCATTTCTTCTGTTATTACTATGAATTCAGGTCGGGAAGTTTTTCTCTTTTCCTCTGGCCGCCCTGACAGGAGGGGTAGTTCTCTGTCCTCTTTTCACTGTCAGCCCTCCCTGGACGTGGCACCACTGTCAGCCATCTGTCACGCTCAGCCATGTGCATGGCACACGCATCAGGGCAAACATGTGATCAGATTCTCCCTTAGCAAGAAACATCTGTTTGTTATCAGCTGGAGGGGTCAGGAGATGGGCAGCTGGAAGCCCACCTTCACCGTGACGATGGGAAAATAAATGACACTTAGAGCAATTTTGAATTTCTCAGAAATAAATGCTATACAAAAAAATGATTTTTTAATAAAAACTGAAGTATAATGTAGGATACTGAAGTATACTCTTAGTATAATGTAGACTGAAGAAACACTGAAGATTATATATATATATTTTTTTTTTCCATTAAAGCTTAACTTACCCTGAGAGTAAAAAAGAAAAATTGGTTAGTGAAAGAAGAGTGTTCTGTGACCTGGACCATTTACTTTAGAATGCCTGGAAAACCAGCCTCCCTAAAGGTTTCCAATTGCTGACTTATTTGAATTAAGCCTAAGGGCTCAAAACAATAGAACGAGTCACCTCTGGTTTGGAGGGGTAAAAAGTATCAGAATGTGAGAGCCGAGCACAAAAGGCCCTTTGGGCAAGAATTTGTGGGTTCTGCTTGTACACACAGTGCTCCTTCAGGAAGACAGATGCCTCTCTCTGGGTGACTGCAGAAATGAGGGCGAGAATATGGTGGTTTCCCCCCAGGCCCTGGGACCTCAGCACTGGGCTGGAAGACAGATGCCTATTCGCATGGGTGAAGCAAGTGCATTGCTCAGCATTTGTTTGGAAGCATCTGGAATTCTTTTCCTTTTACTCTTGGCTTTTATTCAGCCTCGGGTACCACTAACTTGAAAACTTTTGTACAGATATCAGTGACACCTTGGGATTCAGCTGGCACTAAAACATCTTCACAGCGGCCTTCTGCCTCTGATCTGTGGGAGAGGCCATTTTAGTTCCATCTTTAGAGTTTTTAGCATCCAGGAAACAGAATTTCTGATGCCACAGTCAAGCATGGTTCTTTTTAAACATTTATTTTCTTGGTCACTTGTCACAGCCATACACAGTGGTGTGGCATCGAGAGAATCATTGGGCTTTCACATCTCCTTCAGTCTCTGAGCTACTGGGTTATTTTCTCATTTAAATGGGGACCCCCCCTTTCTATATTTACTTGTTTATATGTCTGTCTCCTTCAAATGAAAAGGGGTCTCTGCTTTCAATTCCCAGCACCTTGCAGCATGCTTGGCAATTATGATGATGATATACAATGACATTAGTTATGACTAATGTTAATTAGTTCTATTTGCTACTTTATATGTAGTATTTCATGTACCATTACCCTGTGAGAGAAATACTATTATAATACCCATTTTAATGAGGTAGAAACATAGGTGCAGACAGGTTTGAGTAAATTGCCATAACAGCGAAGTGGCAGAGCCCGGTTCCAACCCTGGTGGTCTGACTTCAGACCCATCCCAGGCTCTTTTCCTAACTTTGCCTAATCAATGGCTATTAAAGTGGACCTGGAAATGGTGAAAGGAATTTGGTTTCATGTAAAAGATCCTTAAAGTTAGACATCTAGAAGGGGAGGTTTTTGCTTAAAAAGACAAGAGAAGAAATTAAGGGGCATTTCTGAAATAGACAAAAAGACCAGATATTCTTTGTTTTATTCAGAGATGTGTCGAAATGTATATATGCAAATAATCTCCATGATGTCATTTTCAACCACAATTCCCTCAATTGTATATCTGAAATAAAGACACAATCTGCTTTCTTTGATCATTTGTGATGTAGTTTGATAAAAACATTCAGTTCACTTATGTAAATGTATGCAAAAATTCTTCACTACCATAGCTATTAAAAGAGGTTTAAATTCAAAGTCCGCCTATTTTAACAAAATAAATAGACAAACCCAGAAGGAGATTAGCAGGCGTTTTACACCCAGTGAGACTTTGGGTGCTGCCCTGTTCATTTCAGAGATAGTGATACTGTAGGCATACTGGAGAGCTCATTTTTAACTTGTAGCAGCTGTTTTATTGAAATCTTTAGCTATACCTCATACACTACACCAGCGGTCCCCAACCTTTTTGGCACCAGGGACCGGTTTCATAATAGACAATTTTTCCATAGACCAGAGGTTGGGGGTTGGGAGGTGGTTTCCGGATGATTCCAGCGCATTACATTTATTGTGCACTTTATTTCTAATATTACATTGTAATATATAATGAAATAGTTATACAGCTCACCATAATGCGGAATCAGTGGGAGCCCTGAGCTTGTTTTCCTATAACTTGATGGTCCCATCTGGGGATGATGGGAAACGGTGGTACCTGAAGTGTGTTGCTTAGGTCCAGGCTACTCTGTAATCTCGTTT